ACAATAAAGGGAGAACTGGAACAGAAACAAAATAAACGGAATTGAAATGTCCCTGGACCTGGTCATGATTTATTGCATCGCATAGCGACGGGATATTCTAAACTTTTTGTACTCACCAAAGTCAGGCTCCCAGCCTCCCACTCTTACCCGGAAAAACAAATAAAATATTATTTGAAATATGTGCCATGCGAACCCCATGATTGAGCATAAATAAAGTGTATAGTAAGCTGGCACAAACAGATTGCACGACTAAGGACAATAAACTGTTTTGACAACTTACGAAAAGGGTTTCCCTTTTGCCCGGCAGGAGTTTTCAACTGCCGGAGAATTAATTAGCACTCTATTTCCTTCACCTCTCGTCAAAAGGTAGAAAAACAATACCTTTTTATAGCCTGCTGTTCCCTCTTTTTATTTTAGCTTCTTTACTTTAAATGGAGCGGCATATTATGAAAAATATATGTTTATTATCATCGGTGACCAAGGCTTTAAATAAATTGAAGGAAGAGTATAATTAATACCAGAGTGTGAGAGAGATGGAGATATGCAAGCATGCAGTCGCTTGAAGTGGCGCCATCTTTCGGAAAATGCATTATTTGCATTATTGCTTATAACTTCTTAAAGAGTGGTCCGATTTAAAAAATTTGTTCAACAAAGTTACACTAGTTTGGTGGCTATGAAAATGTTTAATGAACTTTAGAAAAGATGTGCCCCATTTTAATGGCGTTTACCTTCCAAATGTGGGTGTCCTTTTTATCCGATTTTTAGGGTGATGAGGCATATGTGTGTGCAATCATAATCTCCGCGGGTGCTAACTCATGGTGCATGCAAGGTGTTGTCTTGGTCTTGGCCTTCCTTGTCTTTAGTATCCTGCATCCTGTCCCGTGTCCTTGAGCCGGGCTGCGTAAAACGGTCACAAAGTAACGCCGCAGCTTAACGACTGCGGCCATAATGTCGGCAAAAACTGCTCCGTCTCAGAGCCATCAAACCGGACATGAACCAGGACCAGGATGCGGATGTGGATGTGGGAAACTCCAGTCGTATTTGCCGGAAACGGAAACCTAAACCTTCTGGTCGCTAAGCCACAGGCGCTGGCAAAGAAAAAAAACGAGTGATAGAGTCATCAAAGTTTATATGTTTTATGTTTTCACTTTTAACGCTTCTCTGGGCGGAGGAGCTGAGCGGTGGCCCATTGTCATCGATGATGATTTATTGCCCGACTGCAAGTGGCCAAAAAAATATTTATTCCGTTGTCAGAGTATAAAAAGGCGGGCCACCGGCTGAATTATCAAGCATACGCAGCGTTGAACTTTGGAATTTAGCTGCATTTAAGCTTCTCCACGGGCCCCTAATAATCAAGACGCCGGATGCTGTTTATATTATTAAACACTAAACAAAATTCTATTTTAGATCTAAAAAAATGTATTTAAAACTAGAATTGGTTCTATTCTAGTTTCCAAAATGAAATATAATATAAACATTTTTCAATGAACATTTGCCCTTTGCTGACTGTGCATTTTAATGAAATTTCCTATTTTATTAGAACAAAAGACTAAAGAGCATCAAAGGGTCAAGCTGGTTCTTTTGTGGAAATGCCATTGACATATTTGTTTCGCCATTTTCTTTGTCAAGTGAAATTATTTCCCGTTTTTGCACCAAAGCCAGCAACCAGTGTTTTCAGAATTCCTTTCCTAATGCATATGTCGTTTTTCTTGGTAATGGAAAAGTCACCAAGTCCAAATTGAAGGGAGGTATTATATCGTGGAAAATGTGTGGATAATATTTGTCTTATTTCAAGGAAGCACGTTTCTTCAAAAATTCGATAAAGAAGTAAAATATAATATTAAATTGGCTAAGGTTGGCTAAGGCTAAGGCTTTTTAATTCTATTAATTTATCCTTTTCTGGTCTTAAATATCTTATCATAAAATATATATTATTTCTAAAGAATGCTAGAAAGGTATAGAATTTCAATAAAATTATAATTCTTAAATTAAATTAAATAAAGGTTTAAAAAACGCTTTTATTATTTTTATTTATTTATCTTCCTAGCGCTGAAGTTAACAATTTAACTTAAATGTAAAGCACCAGTCATTTAATATTTTTGTATATTTGACTTTATTGACTAACTTAGTATTAAATATAGATTTGTTTTTAAGAAGGATGAAAGGCAGAGTTGTTAATGTTGTTTTATCCAGAATTTTTTCGAGATTTTCTGAGTGGGAGCCTGGGCTCCATCCCCTCCTCCTGGCCATCGGGCAATATTTTTCCGAAGCTTTTCGGAAAAGCTTTCGGAGTGACAGTAACAGGTCCGTCTGTTAGCAACAGCTGGCCAAAACGACCGCTTACGGCCCAGTTAACAGCTAACAGAGAAGCAACAGTGCGCTGGCCGATTTAAAATAGCGCGTCCTCTGACATGACGACTCAGTTCCTGTTCAGCCATAGTCGGTTACGTTTGCCGTGAACCGAGCACCGGAAAAGTGTCGAGGAAGTGTGGAGCAGTATCAGTATCAGTAGCAGTACCAGAGCACCAGATTCAGCACTAAAGTCTTAGCTAGAATCAGATCCCTAGTCTGGAATCTGAACCCAATCAATCGGAACTTCCAACTCAATTCGAAAATACAAATACAAAATTCAAAAATTTTCCAAATTACCAAATCACCAAAACAAAACAATCACAGAGTTCTTTGTGCTGAAAGACTTTGTCGCGTGCCCGAAGAAATCAACCAAATTCAAGGTTTGGATTCTGGTCCTCCCCTCATTTTGTGTCTCTCTCTCATCGTTTTTTGTTGTATTTTTTGAAAGTGCGTGCGTGTTATGAAAAGTTTGTTTGAGGGGTTTTCTTTTTGAACCAAAAAAAAAAAAAAACAGAAAATCATAAAATAAGTAACAACAAAGCGGCTGAAAGCGGGAAAGCAGGAAAGTCGGAGGTCAGGTATCTTTGGCTCCCCTGTCCAGCCAGCCAGCTATATTATAAGCCATTGCTTTTTGTGCTTGCCTCGGCTCTTTCGAGGTGAATCCAGTTTATGCAGACCTATGCACAAAATTTTATTTCATTTCGGTTTGGTTCCGTTTGGTTGTCCCTATTCCTTGGCTCTTGTTTGGGTTCTCTCTTTTTTTTTCGGTTAATTTTCGTTGCCTTTTCATATTTGATGAGGACGTGTTGGCGGAAACAGACGGAACCCAAGGGGTGGTGGCGATGGGGGTGTCACCTATAATATGTATGCTCCTAAAACAGAAGCTCCAGTTTCCTTGCCTTTCCTTGCCACCATGGGATGCACAGTCATCCGCCCATTTTATACTTTATTTATCTGTCCGCCCTTCCTTCCGCCTCCTCAGTTCTCAGTTCTCAGTTATCCCAAGCATGGCCTTTTGTTATGCATGGCCGTGTGAATCATTCATATGCAAATGCTGTGAAAATTCTCATTTATGTTTTAAGGAATCCCGCAGATGCAGAAGCCAACGAAGTAGAACTTTATGGTCTTTCAGGACTTCCCTCATGATCCGTAGATGAAATAGTTGGGAACTGGGAAGCGATCACCAAGCAAATGCGGTCAATGCCATATTTCAGCCGCCATTAAGTGCTGCCTACTTATCGGCGGCTCCCGATTCCGATTCCGATTTCTGCTTTGTTTGTCCTGGCCAATTACAATTACGCCGGTGAATCGAAGTGAGCAGTTCATTTGTGACCATGACTAACCGCTTTCCGCTCTAATCTAATCGGCTTTGCCCTCCAGCCCGTGTGATTCCTAATCGCATGTGAATGATTCGAGATTCCGGTTCAGTCGCACCATTAAATATATTTTGTAAAAAAAATAATGTTTTGGTATATAGAAAAATATAGGTTTTCTTACTATCTACATACCAATTTACAGATCAAAGATCTTTTAACAAGTATATAGTTTAAACATAAGTATAAAATTTAATTATTCAAACGTAAAACACCAAATCGAAATGAAAGATAAATTATTACCGAACAATGCATAGCGTTCTAATTCTGTAATTGGTTGAAATGAAAAAAAGAGATTTTTTGAAAAAAAAACAATATTTTTTTAATTTATTTATTTTTATTTATAAGATGTTAGAGAAGATTTTAAAACTAATAAATACTCATTATGCCCTGCAAATAGAATACCTTTTAAAGATTTATAATTTTGTAAGTATTTTATATGTTTGTTTAAATTTTTAAACACTTTTAATTAAATTATTGCTATTTATTTAAAATCAACTATAACATAAAGGGGATTTTACTTATTTTTTATAGGTTTTTTCTAATAATTCAATGTGGTAGCTGTAATAGCTCTTCTTAAAGTCAAAATAGCTTAGATCCGAGTCTGTTATTCCGTCACAAAGAATATGTTGTTGGCATGCAGAAGCAAATATTTCAAAGGGCTGTTCTCAAGTCAACCTCTGGCTGGATTTCGCTTACCCGAAGCGTTAAAAAGTTATTATAGTCCGCCGTCCGTCCTTTGGCATAATTCCAAGAAGAAGAAGGGAGAAGTTCTCTCTTCTTGTTTTTTTTAATATTGCGGCTAATTTGGTCTGACCATCACAGCAACAACAACAGGCAGAAGAAGGCCAGGAAGTGGGAAATAAAGAAGTGGGGGCGGGGAAGTAAGAGGCTTTCCACCAGCCACGGCAATTAATTTACATTAATTTCCCTTTGTTCGCATGGCATTGTTTTGTATTCGTTTGGTTTGGTTTTCACTGGTGGGATACTGGGATACTGGATACCTGCTGCAGTAGCGAGAGATATTATTAGAAAACAATTACAACACTTGGGCATCTCTGTACTCTCGCCAAGGACCCCGTCCATATTTAGCCAGCAGGAGCCAAGGAAAGTAGAGAAAGGATGTCGGACAAGCAGGAGCAGCAGGAGCAGGACGCAGGACGCAAGGTTGAGGAGCAGGAGAAGGATAAGGAGAAGGAGCAGGAGCAGGAGACTCAGGCCAGCAGCTGCGGATCTGCACAGGGAGCGGAACCGGAACCGGAAGTGCAGGTGGAGATGGAAGTGGAGGAGGCATCGGGATCGGCCGTCGCATCCGGATCTGGATCGGAAGCCCCTGCTCCGGCCAACCCAAATCCGGAACTGGAACGGGACAGGGACAGGGACTCGCACGGCGACAGGTGAGTCAAGCGGATTCCATTCCCCTTTCCCCATCTCCATCCCCTTTCCCCCTTCTCTGTGCGTCCTTGTCAATATCCATTAGCTAATTGGGCATGCGATGTCAAGGAAGCGGAGCCAAAGGTGGGCCTAGTCTGGCCAGAACCCAGAAAAAGGCCACTCAACGCAATTCAACTGGCCCGAATGAAAGCAACCCAATTACAATATAGTAGCATGCGCATATTACTAACCATTTTATCCACATTACCTGCATATTATAATCGTATTTTATATAGCAATCGCTTAGTATCAGCATTTTAAAAAGATTCATCCCTCATCAAACCAGGAAGGCTAAGCTAAGTTGTAAAATAAATCAAATGGTATATAGATATGTTAATAGCCCTTGTAAAATGTATAATAATTTTGGAAATACCCTCTAAGAAATCAATGTTTTTAAAAGCGAACCCTACGAAATGGCACCAGTTTTTATGACGCCGATGTAATTTAGCCTAAGTGCACCCTCTCTTTAGATCCTAAGCCTTATCAACCCACTCCCAAGCCCAAACTCAAACCCAAAACATAAAACCCATGCTTCCAAAGGCCAAAACGAGTTAACACACTTTGCATTTGGTGGGGGACTCCAATTAGGGAGGCTTTATAAATAGACAACAGCCACTCCCCAATTGGACCTTAAAGCACGAGGGGAACGAAATCTTTTCGGAACTCTCCATGGAGCGGAGGGGTTGACATCCCCAATTCCAGGTACGCAGATCCCGAACCCGAACCTTTTTCGCCCCTTTAACTTGGGTGTTGTTTTGCCTGTCGGCGTATTTTTATCCCCAGTCTAACAATAGTTCGGTTAAAGAGCAGCAGGGAAATTAAATGAAAAATTTAGCAATCTGTCAAAAAACCTTATTAAGGGAAAAATAATGTGTTGATGTGTGAGCTTTATAGTTCAGGGGTGAAAATGAATGGGAGAGATCTTATCTGCGTGCGCCTTATTACCCACTGATTGCTCAGCGCCTATCGCAATGTAATTTATGGCCGGATCAACATACATTTATTTCTAAAGCACACCTCATGGTCAAATCAGAAGTTACCCTGTATTTATTTCATAAATTTCATAGAAGTTTTATTGTATAGTATTTAGAAAGCATTTAAGGTCTTTATTTAACTGTAGACTGAACTGCACTGACAATATAAATACTTATCTAAAAATATATAAAAAACTCACTTTAAAATAGAAAGAATTAACTCAGATCATAAAACACTTCTTTCTATAGTGTTGGTTTATTGTATATATATTTTATACTTACTTCAAATAATAAACAGTTCGAAATTCAATTTAATCAATTCCCTATCATTAGTTTGTGTGCCTTTCAAAAAGAAAGAGCACAATCTTTATTTGCAATTAAGTGGGAATAATACTTTATTTAAGTTTGCCTCTGTCAATAATCGAGCGGCACTGTCTGCGTGTGTTTCTATGTCATTGGGGTCAATTAGTAAGGAAAATCCCATTTGAAGCTGAACTTTGGCGAGTTTCCACCGCTCGGTGGAAAGTTTCGACCTGTTTGCCACCGTGTTGTCCCCTTGAAACTTCACTTCTGTTTCTCCTTCCGGCTGAGTTCTCATCAGCTGCTAACCCGCGCCCCTTCGTCCCACTTTCATTTCCGGACTTCAGGACTTCAGGCCCCCGGGGACCTCGTCCTCGTCCTCGTCCTTGTCATCGCCTAGCACTCAATCATTGCCTCATTCCGTGGATTGAGCATTCAGCACTCGGCACTGCAATTGACACTTTGCGGGGCGTTCTGTTTGATTTCTCCCTCTTTTTCTCTTTTTTTTAATTAAATACCTAATTGGAGGGACATCAAAGCGATGGATCCTTCGAGATTGCAGCCATGTTATAACCCGAAAGTTATCCAAAAGGGCGGGCCAAGTGTCGCACTATTGTTGACTTTATGCACATCCATTGTTCGGCAGCGAACGGGTAGTGTTTGTCCTGCCGGATGGTTGGATAGTTGGATACTTGGATACTTGGATACTTGTATACCCAGGATGGTTCGGGGATAGTCAACATTGTCATGGCTCCTCCTTCTTCCGAGATTTGACAGCATAATTAACAACTCTTCAGCAGACATCCTCATCCACATCCCCATTTTGCCTTGCTTCCGATGATTTTTCAGGCAAAATCCCACGATTTATTGCTGCCCGAGCATTAAGCATATCTTTAAGCAAGGATCCCCCCGTTTTGCCATGTATTCGGAATTGACAATGAGCCCCTGGCTTTTGGACATGGCACGTGAGCTGGCTGCCAGATGAGCCGGATGAGAACATGGAATCCCCATGTTTCCACTTTCCACTCCCCATCTTCCCAGCTTCCCACTGCCAAATTGTTAATGGAAATTATTAGTTATTAGCTGCTTTGCATATTTTGATGAATCCGAGTAAATAACATTGTCTGTGGGGCAAGAATGATTAGCTTAACTTGAAATTAAGCCCGGAATCTCTATATAATGACCAATTTATAGACAATATTTATTTCTTTGGAGCGATAGCGAAACACTTTCAATCAGTCAGCAAGTGGGCACAAAATATACGGTAATTCAGTTTATTTATGAAGATGCCAAATGAAGGCAGCCCAATTGTTTCCAGAATTGCCAAGTGGATGAGCACACATTTTTATTTTGAAAGGGGGAAGGCAGTAAATATTCGAGCTGCTGCCAATGGATCACTGATAAAAATCTCTATAAAGTCGACTTCCTTTGCCAACCCTTTTTTTTTTGGGTGAAAACTTTATGGGTATCCTTGTATCTCATCATCTTTTGGCCGTCTGCGAATTATAAAGTTTCCTCAGTTCGAGTTTCCTTCGTCGGTTGGGTAGTTTTCGGGTGTTTTTCGGGTGTTGAGCACCCAAAATGGAATGTGCTGGCATCAAAATCAAGAGCAAAATCAAAATCGAGGCAGGTATGGCATACTTAAGCCGGCTCAGTGGGGAAAATGGAAGGCGAATATGTGTGCGCACTCGTGTTTCGTATGGAAATCGACATCTGCTGGCAATCAACTGTTCACACAATTGAATCGGATTCAATTGACCAAACAGGAAGCTAATGCGAAAGCGAATGCGAATGTGAATGTGATTTCTAATCAATGGAGGAGCGGGAATCTGGCCGTGACTGCGATTATGGCAGCAGCTCGGGACTCTGAACAGTGATTTACGGTTGCTAAATCCGTTGGATGCGTCCAGTTCCCTGTTCCCACTTCCCACTTCTCACTTCCCAGTGTGGCATTGGCATTCAGTGGACGGATGGCCAATCCGAAAACCAGAAACCAGAACTTGACCCCACCACGTGCCCTTGACTACTTATGTTCACAGACACACAGTGCCACAATTAAACGCACAAGGACGCGAGCATGGATGTGGACGCGAATGTGGATGTGGATGTGGATGCGGACATGCATGTGAAGCGATTGGAGTGGAATGGAGCGAAATCAGTTCCAGGCAAACGAGCCCAAAGGTTGTAGTTGCTGAACTTTGACACAGCATTTGAGGAGACTTGGGACCTGAACCTCCAGACATGCACTTGCCCTAATTGCGAAAATTATAAATACTAAAAATATATTTTTGATAGGCTTCAAAAATAAAATGAAATATTTTTTGTATAATATTTGGTAGATAAATCACTTGGAAAATCCCTAAATGCTTTTTCCTAAGCAAATACAAGAATGTAACTTTTCGAACATGACTATGACTATGGTCCACTCGAAGGACTCGCAGGACTGGCAGGACTCAGAGGACAAGGCGCCGAGCGGAAGAAGCAATTGGCCAAAATGGTGTTTGAAGTAAAACCCAGAAACGTGACGGGATTCACAAACGGTGTTGAACGCATGCCGGAATACCACAAGGGCATCTTACCCTTACTTAGGAGCTCCGAACACCGAACACCGAACACCGAACACCGGCAAAGGCGACAAAAAGCTGGGACTGGCAGCCAGCGAGGGGTAATAAAGCAGCGACCACAAGAAACAATGGCCAATGGCATCGGTATCTAAGCTGGAAATTCCCATTCGACCAGTTGCTTTTCATCTTTACTTACTGCCATTTGCGGGCATCGGGCCATAACGTATACGCATTAAGTATACGACGTGTTGTCCTAGGGTTTAGGCAGTAATACCGTAATCTCTAGTAAATGAATGATGATTTATTAATTGTTAGCATTTTATAAGGATTTTTTAAGTCATATTTTATGCTAGCCTGGAGAGAATCTATAATTAATAGCACATATTTTAAAGTCATTAAAACTTTGTTTAGTGTTTTTCATTTTTTTCTTAGCCTAATTATTTAAATGGCATTTAAATTGAAATTGAATGAAAATCAATTTTTAAAAATTGAAATATTAAATAAAATATTATTATTAAATTTATTAATGTGTTTTCATTCTTCTTTTTCTTAGCCTAATTATTTAAATTGCATTTAAATTGAAATTAAATGAGAACCAATTATTAAAAATTGAAATAATAATTTAATTATTATTATTAAACTTATTAATGTGTTTTTAGTTTTTTAAATTTTTTAAAGTGTTTAGTTCGATTTATTTTTAATTTTATTTTTTATTCCTTTTTTCTTTCCTTCACTGACTATCCCTTCCTTTAAGCTGCTACAAAAAATACAAATAGACCCTAGACTTTGTTGCGAGGCTTAAGGATTCGTCTAGTAGTTTAATAGAAGTGCGTTTTTTCCTTGGCCCGCTGCAACTCCCACGTCAAAGGCCTTCTGACTGCCAATCTGCCTTTGTCGGCTAGTCGAGCAGTCAGGCACAGACGCCCTTTGTCTCACTTTAAGCCAGGCCTATACAACAGACCTACAGGGCCAACTGGCGTCACAAACAGACGATGCAGCAACATCAACGCCAGGAATACAGGAATACCAACTCAGTGGCCTGGCTGTGAGATTATAGACTAATTACCAACAGTTTGGCGAGATAAATCTATGGTTGGGTTGGAAAAAGTTTATATAAAAAATGTTTATGCACCCCATACTTGTTGGACCCTTTATTTCGGTTTTTTCGGACTTTATTTTGGTCGCCGCACCATCGATTTTTTTGTTTGTGTGACGCCTTTGTCGTCACCAAAAGCTGAAACACACAAACCACACGTCCCACAAACATACATACATATATCCCATGTTACATATATACGAAGATATGGTTGACGTTGGAAACGGTAATAAATCGCCATTGAAATTTTGTCGTTCAGCTTTGCTCTCTTTCGATTTTCACTTTATTATCACACCCTTCGGTGTAGAAGGGGTAGAATTCCATTGCCCATCAGTTGGTAATCCAATCCCAGCTGATTATCATCAAAATACTTACAAACTTGGAACTTAAAATTGAGGAACCACCTGTGGGTTGAATAGCTGGGCATAAATTAAAAATTAAGCTGTTTTTCTATGTTTATTACGGGAAAATGGGAATAACTAATTGATAACTAATTGATTTTTACGATTTTTTTTTCCTAAATAAAATTAATTAATCTCGATATAATATGATATTCATAGGTATTTAAAAAGTTTGCAACCTAAAAATTTGTTTTGAAATCCCTCCCATAACCATACTCTGGATTCCCAATATCTTAAATATGAAAATATAATAGTTTTTCCCGGCTAAAACCAACGAAAGAGCATCGCATGGTGGCAGGAAGAACTTAGTTCACACCATCGAATTCCGCTGGCTTGTGGATTTTTGTCAATAGACCGCTGGTAGGTGGTCGAAACCCCCGACGGAGTGCGACATAATAAATAGATATGAATGTGATTCGATCGCTTTGTGGGTGTGTGTGCTTTGGGTTTTGGGTATAAGGAAAAATGTGTTGGCTTTGCCTCGAATTAATGCGTAACCCGCGGCGAGTCAATCAGTTTCTTTTTGTCGGTCGTGACTTTGGCCAGGATTTTTTCCCAGAGCTCGAAGTGGAATTTCCCAGGTGAAATTCAACCCCCATATCCACACATCGAGAGTGTGCAACAGTTTTCGGAGTAGCCGCACAAAATGTATTGATTGCTATCGATTAGGCTGAATGCGTGGAGCGTGAGCGTGTGACAATGCGGCCAGCTGCGTGAGAAAAGGGGGGAAGGGGGAGGAAAGAACAGCTCCAAGGACATTTCACAAAAGGACACTGGACAACTGGCAGCGATTGGCGATTGGAAGGCAAAGAGCAAAGCACAAAGCGCAACAAATGTTATTCCCATCTTCTTGCCAGTTGCCTGTTGAGTCGCCGAGTCCTTGGATCCTTGACTCCTTGAGTCCTGTCCCCGCGTCACTTGCAGCTGGTTTGCTGTTTTGCAACCGCCTTTTTATCATTTCTTGTTTTCTCGCTGGTTGCTCGGGCGATTTCCGTTTCCGTTTCCGCTTCCGCTTCCCCATCCCCTTGCACTTCCGATTCAGCTTCAGTTTCAGTTTCAGCTGCAGTTGTTATCAACGTTTGCTTGTTAATTTGCTTGTGCTGAAAAGCGGAAAAGTGGAAAACTGCAGGTGGTTCGCTGCCTTAACCAGATAACCATTTAACCATGATAACCAGATAACCAGATATGTGCTTTGAACCAATCTCCGTTTTCTCTACGTTTTCCCCTGCCAAGTGGCTGCCAGAAACATTTTAGCAATCACTAAATCCCTCGATTGCATTGCCAGTTTGCATATCCCAAGCTCCTTCTGGCCAGCGGTCAGAATGTCAGAATGGCAGATTAAATGAACACAAAGGAGTCTTTATGGAAGTGGATAGTTAAGGCCAGCGTCTGTGAACATAATTTCCAGTCCAGATTTAATTGCAGCCATTTATTTCGAGCTCCAACGACACCTATAATCTCTGAATAACGATGCAAATCTGAACATTTAAGTTTCCCGGAACCCGGAGGTTTTTTTCCAGCTCTGCAATTCAATGGAGCCCCTTTTTGCCACATACAAAATATACCTTTGAGAACTATTTGAATAGAGTGCACATATGCTTTGTGAATCCTCTGTCGACACTTTGATGTCGTGAAAAATAAGTCAATAAGTCAACTAATTTATATCTAGTCTAATTAGGCAACGTGTTTTCATGTTGTCCTCTTCACTTTGGCCTTGAAAAGCTCATTTTGTATGGGAATACTTTGGGTTGGGGATAGGGGACTCACTGCAGTTCCCTTGGCCGTAAAAATTGACAAATTTTCAAGGACATTTTTTACGATGGCGAAACGTTGGTAACAGCTTGCCTGTCAAAAACAATTCCGATCCAATGAAACGTAGCTGAGTGCCGACAGCACTTGCAGATCCAAAGTTATAAGGACACACGGCAAAGTTTATAGGGATCGTTCGAGATCGATGAAATAATACAAGGAGTAAAGAAACAAATAAAATGAAAATTAAATCTTTATAAGGTTAAGCTTAGAAATTAGAAACATTTTCGAAATAATACAAGGAGTAAAGAAACAAATAAAATGAAAATTAAATCTTTATAAGGTTAAGCTTAAAAATTAGAAACATTTTCGAAATAGGTTCATAGAACTTTATATATATGTTTGAAAAGTAATATATTGACTTTGCTTTATTTAAAATTGATTTAAAATTTTTCCCTCTATAAAAATTTAATAAAATAATTTTAAAATTTTGAAAAGAAAGCAACTTATTCTTTTCACAATTTAAAAAATTAGTCATACGAAAATTTAATTTATACCAACTATATTTTTTTCCAAAAAGAATATACAGATTAATATATATCTAGAGAAACTTAATAATATTTTTCTCTGTGTTCTCAGCATGTGGTAGCCAGTTGGCTACAATGATCAATGGCAGGGCTTTCTAGTCGAATTTCACGAGCTGTTGCCGCAGCCGAAAGTTTATTAATTTGTTATCCTGTCACTTGGGCACTTTCATTGCCTTTCATTAGACCCTCCCCCAATCTCAATCCCCAATCCTCAGTTCTCTCCATCCTCATCGCAATTCCGGAGACCGCAGAAATTAATTACCGGATTATAAGACAACTTCATTGGCCAAAAGGGGGGGCGGGGTAGGGGCGGTATGGGATGGCTCCCGAATGGGGGCGTGGCAGACAAGGCGATAAGCCCGTTTCAGTTCAATTTTCACCATTCCGGGGGCAGCGGCAGCCATTTGGTTTGGGCCTTTATGATTAACATTTAATAAGAAAAGGTCACGCACCGGGAGAGGAGTGGGTTTCTTTTTTTTCTTTTCGGTTAGGGATAGGAATTGGAGAGAACTATATCGACAGCATTCCACTCCATGCCATTCCAGTCGCATCTGGCCCAGGCTAAATTAAGTGCCCAACTTAAATAACTCGAATTAAACATTAATAGCGTACTTAAAAGTTTTCCTTTTCGTTTCTGTTTTTGTTTTCCTCGCCGCCTTCGTGTTTCACTTATAGCCGTTATTCAGTTGTTATTCAGTTGGCCTTTATTGGATTCGATTGTTGCTGTTGTTTTTTAAGTTTTTCGGGCCCCTCGTTGGGCGCCAATTTGTTGTTAGGGCCGAGG